GTACAACGTTTCGACAAAGTTTTGTCGAAGGTACCTGATGATGACAAAACCTTGTCGAAACGTTGTACATTTGCTGTTATATTAAAGTTTTTCTTCATTACCCATTCAAGCCATCTCCAGCCATTATTAGTTAGTGTTGTATTACAAAATATTCAAAGAAAAAATTCCAAAAGCTATTGTTTAAAAGAAAACAGAAGTTGATAAATCCCTTCCTTTCTTTTTTTTACTCAACAACTTATTTTATCTTTAAGGGTACTTACTTTAACTTCCTCTCATTTGATACATTCCATTTTAAGCTACACTAAATACTAATTTGTCTTCAACTTTAATTGCAAGTTCCTTTATAGACTGATATTTATTGATAGTGAATTTACAATTTTCAAACAAATTACAGGAATCTCTGATTCTTCTCTAAAGCTAACCATTTAGTTATTTTCCTGCCCACATACTTCCACAAATCATTATGGTTGGTGACCATTGGGCATACATGATAGTTATGATACAAGATGTTGAACATATTAAAGAGAAATAGAAAGCTCCTTGGATTACATGAAAGAGGTCAAAACATCTAGTGTCTTTTATGACTGCTGATTGACTTTTAAATGGAAATTTTAATTGTGTATTATTCAATGTTGATTGTTTGAGTATTTTAATATATTTTAAGTATTTACACAAGTTCCTTGAATTTTAACCTGCAACAGAGCATAGTCCAGAAAGATGGTCCAAACACATGGATTTCCTGGTCAAAGGCTGTGAAACTGCTTAAAGCAATTGTAAACTCACATTCATGTGTTTGCATGAAGTCTATTCAAAATATGTACTCTTCCAAATGTAAATTATCCACATAACAACATTTTTAAAGAAGCTTCCCACATTGAAGCAGACTTCCAACTTTCCTTTAGCTTAATTTCTGGAGGCAACTGTCAGTTTTCATTACTAGATGAAGTTAAATAATGGTTGTTGTAGAACAGTGTTGATCAGGATACTTCAGATACTCCTGTCTATGAACTTGTTAACTGATGGACTGGTTTCTTTAAATAATAAACGATTTGTAGTAGACAAGGTGGGGGGGGGGATTTACTCACACTCAGGATACTGTTTCATTGGTTTATCATCACTGATTGATTCATCACAGTCTGAGATATATTGTCCATGTTCTCCACATTTATTCCAGTTTTATTTTCTAAAGTCTTTTGTCTGCAATTCCTGGCAATACAGAATTTTAACTTGCACTTGTCATACCCTCAATTCCGTGGCCTTATTCTACCATTCTGAGTTAATAGTGGTCTTATTAATCCTTTTAATTCTTCAAAGCATCCATTGGTGGAAGTTAGTGTTTCTGCACTATTTTATCTGACAATCCCATAAATCTTTGCTGGAGGCTTCAGTTGTTTACTTGCAATTTTAACTGATTCAATTTTAATCAGCAAGTAAATAGTTTCCCTTGAAGATTTATACATTTTACTTTGTTTTATTTAGTCTAACTTGATTACCCTCATTCAACAAGACACCTATGAATTGGTCATGTGCTAATTAATCAATACATTCACGTGGCTCATTTGATACAATAACTAGGCAATTCTTTCCATGTTTTCAATAAACTTTCTTCTTCTTCTTCCTTATTCTGTTCCCATAAGTTGCTTTAGAAACTTCCTTCTCATGTAACACTCCAAATCTCAGTCACTAATACTTGCTACGACTTTCTGTTTTGTTATTATTTTAAAGTAGAGTTATACAATGGGTTATCTGCACTCTGTTCAGCATGAGGAACTGAGTCCTGGATTTTGGTGTTGTAAGTTCATAAACTTATAGCAAAACCACCAGGGGATTTTAATATTATTAAATCTAGTCCTTTTAAATGTGTAGCAAGATGAATGACTTGCTGCTCACTGCTACATCTTATCACCTTTGAAATTATTTCAAATTGTGCCTGACACACCTCCCATGATATGTTTCTATCACATTCTTTGGGTTTTTTTTAATTGGGATATGTTGTTGAACTGGACAGCTACATTCCGTAACTTGGTGAGATAGATGAGTATATGGCCCAGCAATAGTGGTAACATGTATACACCAGATGAATTCTCCTATTACATATCATATAGCCAATGGTATTTGAGGTTGAAATAAATGAGAATATGGAGAGCAGTGTGTGACTGGTTTGGTTCTTGCAATTTGAAATTCAGTTTCTAGATAATATGTTCTGGCCTTGAAAACACTTTGTAAATTTCCTATTACTTCTTTGATGTTGTTATAATTCTACTGTACTTTTTCAGTTTTGTTATTAAAATCCTTCTGGATTTCACTAATGAATTTTGTTGACTTTGTTCATTTAATCTTTCTATAAATCGTATTTGTTGTTCTAATAATCCATCACTTTCTTCTTGATATGCTTTTAACTTTCTGTACCTTTTTTCTCATTTTCTGTCTCCTCCTTTTGATATTCTTTAACCTTTTTTTCTCTTTCTCCTTGATCTACTTTCTACTGTTTTACCATTCCTATAAAATTTCCAATCTGGATTTATCATCTTTAACATGAGTCTGAATTTTAGTTTTTCCAAAAGGATCTCACTTCTGAGAACAGTGTTGTGATAACTTCTATTCTTGGCTGGATTCTTCTGGATTATTTGGTAAAAAGAATAATGCAAAGACCAGTCAACTTGATAATCACTAAAATGCTTTATTTTTTCAATTTCCATTGTCAGCGTAATCAGTGTTCACAGAATGTTAGGACACATTTTACAAATAAATCAGACTTTCTTGCTAATTTTACTTCTTTATTGAAATATGAATTTAAAAATTAATTATATAATTAACAGACTCAATAAATAACTTAGAATAGCCTAACTCACTCTTTTATGAATGGCTAAAATTGCTTCTCAAAATGTAGAGAAAGTCCCAGGCAAATCACATATCACACTACACCAAATCTCTCTCTGCATGGCCAAACAACAATAAATTTTTTCAATCGAAAGGGTAGTAAAAAATCATTAGGCTTTAATGAGAGGTTGAAAAATTTCTTATTTTTTACTAAACTAGTTATAATTTCTGGTTTAAATTAATGTGACATTAAAGTACAATATAATGATATGCATCTTTCACAAAGTTACCATTAAGTTGTAAATGCAAAAGTATGCTTCACATACATCCCCATTATATGTTAGTGTAATTTTCAATATGATATAGTTTATCAATTTTAACACCTATTTTAACATTACAAACTGATACTATTATGTTATGTACTAGAAAAAAAAACAAGTAATGTCAGTTAGAAAGAAGCTGACATGTTTGCATTAAACACCTAAAACATTGAGATTCATTACGTGGAAACCTTTTAACATATTATTTCAAAATAATGTGATGTGTAACATCAAAATATTACAGTTAATAGTTTCAGCTGCATCCTTTTTTACTAGTCATATATGGCTTTTCCATATGAAGAGTGTATAACACCATTTAAACCACACATTTTGCATGCTCCATGTCTCTGTAAATGAGGCTTTTCACTCAATACCAGAGCTCATCACTCAGCTGTACATGCAAAATACAAAGCTTCAGTCAAAATATATCAGTCATTTATGAAAAGTCAAACCTTATTGTGTATAATGTCTAAGCAGGCAGCATTTCACTGAAGCTTTGAGTATTGTTAGCCTAACAGATTTGATAAACTCTGGTATCCATTCAAAGTCTTATTGAAGCAGTGTACACCATGCAGTGTGTTACTGAATTACTATTAAATACACTCTTCTAAGCATTATACACTGCAGTGTGATTTTATGTTCTTAAAAGTAAGCTAATAAAGATTAATGGACAATAACATGAAAAATTGCACTTGATTCACATTTTGTTATAAAACTAACTTCATATTCTATATCTTTTAGAACATAATAAAAGTAACTCTAGTAATACTCGAATACAAAAAATGCTTAACTCTAAGAATATATAATGTATACCAGCTAAATAATAACAGTAATGTATGTTAGCTAAGCTATAATGTTTTGTAGTTTACAAATATTTAAAAGGAAGAGCTTACCAATGCATTTCTTATCATTATTCTCAACATGTTTGAAGTTTTCTTTACATTTACACTTATACTCTCCAGGAAGATTTGTACATATGGTGCTGTTTTCACACTCATTCAGGTTTTTATCTGTACATTCGTCAATATCTAGAAAAAAAATCAAATTTTGTTAAAGATAATTCAGGTTAACTATGATCTGCTAATTATCAAGTACAATACATCATATTAATTAACAGCAAAGTAATTTTCTATTCCAAACGTATAATGTGTCTTCCATTGTTTATAAAAATAAACAATAAAATATTGTCCAGCATGTATTGTATTGTCCAGCAAGAATATTAATTTTAGAATAGCTTAATAACGTATGTGTTGCTAATTTCTATCTAATACCCATAGTTAATAGATGTACAAAATATTAGATAAACTATAAATAGCAACATTAGTAACTAATGACACTGTATTCTCACTGAAACATGAATACCAAAAAAGAAATAAGGCGAATCACAACAGTTTGTCCAAGCAAACTTCCTGCTAGAATCCTTTAATTAGATACAATATAATAAATATAAATTTATAAACTGAACATTTTCATGCAAAACATTCTTAATATTTCTCATCTAAGTGATTAACAGAAAAGGTTTAATGACTTGAAAAACCTTTGTATTTTTTTTATCTTCAATACAAGTTGATCTACAGGAATTTAATAAAAAAAGAGACAAATATTGTATTCTGTGCCAAATGTGGTTTCTAAAATGTAAAAGTGATTATTCTAATGATGTCATGAAAGGTTTGGAAAAATAATTCTACGTTACATAAAAAGTTGTTTCAGGTTCCGTTAATATTTCAGTATTGTGTGAAATATGTTATCAGTAAACAAACAAAAACAAATATGGCTGATTCGTATTGCATTTGTACATAAAAAGTGCATCTACAACAGTCATACTTCATATTATTTTTGAAAACATAAAACTGAAAGAATACTCAAGCACATACCATAAGAATTACTCACGGCTCACTCTGTTTTATATTAATGAAAGGAAGTTTGTAAAATGAGTGATCATGTATAGACAATGGTTTTGTTTTTTTTTTTAATTTCACGCAAAGCTACACGAGGGCTATCTGCACTAGCCGTCCCTAATTTAGCAGTGTAAGACTAGAGGGAAGGCAGCTAGTCACCACCACTCAACGCCAACTCTTGGGCTACTCTTTTACCAACAAATAGTGGGATTGACCGTCACATTATAACGCTCCTATGGCTGAAAGGGCGAGCATGTTTGGTGTGACGGGATTCGAACCCGCGACCCTCAGATTGCGAGTCGAGTGCCCTAACCACCTGGCCATGCCGTGCCATAGACAATGGAAAAAAGTTTGAAGAAGAGTGGTGTCAACTAGAAACTTAAACCAACCTACAGGTGGCTGACATCCCAACAGTACCTACATTCCACTTTGAGAACTACCACTTTATTTTCAAAAATACTGAGAAAGTGAAAAATGTGTTTAAAAGACCCACTAACAAATGATTGAATGATGTTAGTAAGAGAATACAACCAAGGGAACCAAAATGAACTCTAATCATTGTTCATTATCACTATCAATGTACGTCTTCTTCTTCATATGGTTTTAAGGGTCTACATCATACCAAGAAATATGTTTGTTTGTTTTCTAAGTGTAAAACTACACAGTACTATCTGTACTATTCCCACTGCTGGAACTAACCCCAATTTTTAACATTATAAGCTCTCAAGCTTACTGCTGGGAAATAAAAGGCAATTTTTTTTTGACCTAAGTACAAAGCTACACATTGGGCTATCTGCACTGTGCCCATAATTAGTATTGAACGATAATTTTTAACATTTTAACCCCTCAAGCTCACTAGTAAAAAACAGAGGAGGGCAACATTTTGGTTATAAATTACCAAGTATGTGAAACTATTAACTAATCCATTAATCAGTGAATTAGAAAACCTAAATACAATGTAAATTAATAGTATCATCAGCCAAATGATTTTATGGAAAATTATAAAGTCTTAATTTATGAATGTTTGAGTAAATGCATAAGTAAATATCTTTCTTAGTTTGAGCTTGTTTATTGTGAAGACAAAACTTTTGTGAATAGTCTTATTTCCTAATATTTTCTATTCAATTAATCCCATTAATTTCCACTTGATTAATCATCAATTAGTACAGTGTTCCTTAAGCCATGGGATGTACAAGAAAAAAGAAGACTGATTAACTTGTCAAAGTTTTTTATGTAAGGGGCCAGGATTCTTTACAGTAGGTGTCTATGACTTGTTGGCAATAAATATCAACAATAAATGGACAGCACACAATCCACTTGTTTTAAAAGAATATATTCAAAACAAGTCAAATGTATGTACAAAAACTAGTTACACTACTGATTATCATAGTTGTATCCAGAGCTACAAGTAATTGTCTTCTTTTTGTAAAAGTCCACACAAGTAGGTTCAATTACTTTAGAATACCCTCTGACAAGACAACTTTTTTTTCTCTGTTGTCACAATACTACTGTGAAACTCACTTTAGGTTTCATCCATTATGGCAAAACAAACTTTCATGCAGCCAAACTTCATTTTCACTAATTTAACTTTTAAAATAATCAACTTTTAACACTTTTGTTATGAAAACTACATAATCATTAAACATTAAATCACTAAATAAACTAAATAATAACTCTTATACTAAACAGTCTTGTGTAGTCAAGAAAGCTTTACTGATTTATGATGCCTTATACTTTAATATATATATATTGTCACTGGTAATACAAACTAAGTTCAATTTATATATTAAAGCTTGGTTTGTGGCATCCTAGTGTTAAAATTCTATTAATTAATTTTGAAATTAAAACCAGAATTCCCCAATTTTTCTAATCTGTTTAGTAATTAAAATATGATACACACAAAACCACTACATTATGGTTATTTGATATTGAATGATAAAATATTAGCCAGTTATTTAATATATAGCAGCACATTTTAGAGTAATTTGAAGTACATTTGATGTTTACACACACACACACATATTTGTGTGTGTGTGTATGTTTAAATATATGTATATTAAGGAATCCCTTAGTAATTGTTACAAAATCATTGCCAACACAGCTTTAATAAAAGATATCCTGAAAGTAAATATAATATGACTTGCCCAAAACCAATACAATTTTTTCCAGTAATTACTAACACATCTCAAAACATTAAATAAATGAACAAAAAGATTTCCACAGTTTCTCCATTTTAGTATCTAATGGTGACAGCAATACAGGTTCAGATTTCTGAACATAACCAATATTCTACATTCATAATTTAAAATTCATTGTAAAATTGGTTTCGGTATTATATTGACCTACATGATAAGCAACAAACTGCATTGTGCCAATACCTCTTTAAGAAAATATGGACTTATCAATTCATGAGTATTTATTTAGTACTTACCAACACAGATGTCCTCTGTTCCTATATTAGAATACTTCTTTATGTAAACAGATGAATATCCTTTCTGACATTTGCAATGAAATTTATCACCTGATACGCATATGTTTGGTGGAGTACAAAATGATCCATAGGAGCATTGATCAGAAATGTTTGAAAATGTAACTATATAGGGAAAGAAAAATCTAATATTTTATATCTATTTCAAACATTCAACAAAATTATGGTTACAAAACAACAGATCTTGACTGACTATCTTAGTGAGCAATATCTTATAAAAGAACATTAATAAGGTGCATAAATAAAAAATATGTATTCAGAAACAGAATAAACAAGTATAAAAGTACACTAACACATATCACTAAGGCCCAGATATGTCCCTCTACAAAAGTTAACCTATGGACCCTTTGAGGTTGTGGCTTTAAACAACACCTTAAAAAGCTGAAATAATACAGTTAAATACACATCTTTGTTTCTTTTCACAAGACTCTGAAA